GTGACCCCAGTATCCGCTGGGGTTCAGTCTGGAGGGGCTCTCCGGTGCTCAATTGAACTCTCAATGTAAACAATTCCATGAATTCGCCTTTTCAAACTGTTTCCCTGGAGACCGGAAAGGCTGTTCTCTTCTAAAGAGAACAGTTTGACAGTAATACCACAGCCAAACCCTTACAGAGGTGTCTGGTAGTAAGTCACTCATTAAAGGCGGGGCTCAGATCCGTGGTCAAGAGGGCTGCTCCCGGCAGACACTGGGGTGGCGTGGCGCAGGATGCCCTGGAGTAAGAGTCCGATTAAAGAGCCAGCTGCACACAAATCCCGGAGCGGGAGGCCGGGATAACGGACTACCCAGAGTGCATTGTTTCGATTTCACGCCCAGACATAGCAGCGCGTCACCCTCGGTGATCGTTCTGCGTCACAGGTGTAAAGAAAGTGGGTTTATCTGGCCAGGGTTGGGCTAAATCACACTGTGGCCCCTCAGAGCCACAGACGAGCCCACCCGCCGTAGCCCCTCCCACTGGCGACCTGATGAAGAGGTCAGAGGTCAAAGTCTACACGAGTGACCGCTCTAGTTCCAGTCCCTGTCGCGGATGAGCGGCCTGTTAGTGCCACCGGAGAAGAGATGCTTCTCCCAACGACATCACCACAACCCCGCGTCTCCCGATGACATCACCGCTTTAGTGCCGCTGGAGAAGAGGTACTCCTCCCAATGACATCACCACAACCTCGTGTCTCCTGATGACATCACCACAACCCTGCGTCTCCCGATGACATCACCGCTTTAGTGCCGCTGGAGAAGAGACACTTCTCGTGATGACATCACCACAACCCCTCAAGCTAGTGAACCACAGCCCAGTCCCAACAGCGCTCGTCTGATCGTGTGCTGCCCCAAGGCACTGCTCAGTGCCGTCGGCTCATGGCCTGACTTGGGTTCGAACCTCTGGCTTTGGGACACTGGGGCTCGAGCCGTTCAAAGCCCAAAATCTGATCGTGACTTTTCAGATTTACTATCAATTCAGAGTTTACTTGACTGTCCCATCCACATTGTAATGGAAAGCGTGACTACTGAAGATAAATTATACTACATCTCGCTGTCTGGTCGGGGTCTGACCTACCTCCAGGAGTGCCTGAGTACACTGAGCTTGTCTCTCCTCCTGCTGAGAGCAGCTCTCTGCTAACTGGACAATCACACCCATGTGACCGGTCGCCAGGATAGCTTCTAGACCCTCAGA